AAAAATAATAATAATAATAAAGTAAAAAAATGTAAGGTAAAAAAAAAAAAAATCAATATTAAAATATTTATACCTAATTTGGACCAAAACTGCTTCAACTCAAAATCAAAGGAGATACAAATATATTATATATGTGGTTTTGAAATATAAGTAACATATGGAATTGAATAAATACAGTTTTAATTTAAATAAAAATTCATGAGGGTTTTTACTAACACAAGATCTCACCTTCACTTAAAATACAAAGGATGAGTACTCAAGTATTTCCTCTGTATTGCTCATTTATTTTCTCCCATCAGTCAAAATGATAAAGACGCTGACAAAGTGAATTTCAACACATGCCTTTCTAATCAGTGCTGACACATAAACTGGAGCATAACAAATGAGGCATAGCCCAGAATATTGATTGGTTGTTTTTAAGTCTGAAACACATCAACTCTCGAGCGCTGTAGATCAGTGCTTCTCTGCTGGAGGGCCATGACCTAAAAATGGCTTGAATGTTTGTCCTAAAAGAACAGAGAGCATGAAAATTCAATCAGAATTAAATCATTACCTTAAAAAGTAAATTACGCTTCTGTTGTTGTTTCTGCTTTTACAAAATTATCTTTTTTCTCTCATTATATACGTGAGTGTGTGTGTATTTGTTAGTAGTAGTTAATTAGTAAAAATGTATAAGTAATATACTATATATAAAATTTTATGGGGGTCTGAATACTTTCCGTACCCACTGTATATATACACGTATATGTACAGAAATACAAGAACGACACCAAATTAGTTGTACATAAGCTTGCTAAAATTAAACAAACCCTTATTTTTTATAGCCAAGTGGGCACAATCATTAGCAGAGCAATCTATCACTAGACCAGCAGTCCTTGTCACATTTTAGATTAAATGACCACCGGCTAAGTCACGATTTGTCCATTAATATCATAAAAAGCTTTTTGTGACATTAAACGCGATGTAAATTGATCCGAAGTACGGTGTATAATCTAAACTTCCAGCAAAGAGCTCATGTTGAAGAGTGTGTGTGTCATGGGCTTCTTTAATTGAATGAGGGGCATCCTTCATTGAAATGACCCACCGTGAGCCATTAAGGTCCAGTAATGACTCTTTTCATGTGGATCTTGGTTTTACTACAGCTGCCGTTCATTTACTTTATATTCGGTCTCACTGTTTTTTAGGGGCGATGACGCTTTGCCTGACCAATCCGATCTGGGTCACCAAAACTCGCCTGGTTCTGCAGTACAGCGCCGATCCATCTAAGAAGCAGTACAAGGGGATGATGGATGCTCTTGTGAAAATCTACCGGCATGAAGGGATCGCAGGACTCTATCGGGTACAAAAGAGTTTCTATGACAGCGTAAAGGTCGTTTTGTGCAGTCGGTGGGCGGATCGTTTCCTTTTAACAGGAAATAGTTGATGAAACTCTCCTTTTTGCCACTAGGAGAAGCACTTGTATAAGGAAATATGGAGCGTGCATGGGAATATTTGTGATTGTGTGCCAGTTGCAAGCTGTGGGGTTTGTTTGTTTGTTTCATCTAGCTGAGTTAACTGTTATGATCCCTAGGGGTTTGTGCCGGGATTGTTTGGAACCTCCCATGGTGCACTGCAGTTCATGGCATATGAAGAGCTGAAGAGAGATTATAACAAATACAGAAAGATGCAATCAGATGCTAAACTGGTTAGTATGAGCAAGACACACTTTGATGGTTTATAAAATGAACTGAATGTTTGGCTTCCTGCATATTGCGCCTTTTTAAAATGTGAAACATTACATTATGCTACAATGAACATTTCAAAATAGCAATGTTGTTGTCACTTTTAATTTTAGGTGTCCAAATACATTTTGGCATCACTTTACACAGTGGTATTATGCTAAACAGCCACATTTGTCGGTTCATTAATGCGGTTTGTAGAAACTCTCAGTGCATTTTGTGCTCTATTTTCTCTCTAGAATGCATTAGAATATGTTTCCATGGCAGCTTTGTCCAAAATATTCGCAGTGGCTACGACATACCCGTATCAGGTGGTCCGAGCCCGTCTGCAAGATCAGCACAACACGTATGATGGAGTGGTAGATGTCGTCCGCAGAACGTTTAGGTAAGCATGAGATTTACATATTTGCTAATCTCAAGAAAGCACATTAGCAGACCAAATGTTGGGGATCTAGATAACAAAAACCAAAAAGACAAACTTGACTTTTATGCTATCGAACCCTCCTGAATACCCTATAGACTTCATTTTCACTGCATTACACAATTTATACACTACCGTTCAAAAGCTTTTTAGTGTTTTTCAAAGAAGTCTCTTATGCTCACCAAGGCTGCATTTATTTTAATTTAAAAACAGTAAAAATTGTAATATTATGATATATTATTACAATTTAAAAGAACTGTTTTCTATTTGAATATATTCTAAAAATGTAATTTATTTCTGTGATGCAAAGCTGAATTTTCGATCCTTCATAAAACTTTTTTTTTAATTATTATATTATCATCAATGTTGAAAACAGATGCTTAGTAGTTTGTGTAAACTTTAATACGTTTTGTTCGATTAATAGTATGTTCAAAAGAACAGCATTTAAAATAGAAATATGTTGTGTAGTTATTATAATATAATATATCAATCATATGCATAAAAATATTTAATACAATATACTTTTTTGTAATGTCATAGCATATACTGTCACTTTTGATCAATTTAATGCAGCCTTGCCGAATTAAGGTATTATTAGTAAAAATCTTAATAAACCTAAACTTCTAAATGTAGTATACTTGTTACTAGAAAATGATCTAAAATAATAACGTTCTTTAGAAAAGAATCAAAACAACTAGAGAACTCATAACAGGTTGATATGAGCATAATTAGTTACAAACTGATACATTTGATGAATTTTCACATACATTTTCTGGGGTGGGTTGCATAAACATAGCCACTATGTCAAGAACTAGTTTGACCAACTAGTTAACCAAGTGGTAATCAGTCTTACTTTTCAGATTCAGATTAGACCAGTTTACCTTTTTATGTATCCGGCTTTACAAAGTTATGACCAGTGTTGGAGAAAAAGATTAGATTACTAAATTTTAAGACTAGTCTAAGCAGTTTATGCACATGGTAAAAGGTGCAGTGAAAGTACAGTGATCTTATACATAACTTTTGTCTTTCTCCTGGTGTTTGATCAGAAATGAGGGTCTGTTGGGTTTCTACAAAGGCATGGTGCCCAACCTGATCCGAGTCACTCCTGCCTGCTGCATCACCTTCATGGTCTATGAGAATGTTTCCCACTTCCTCCTGGACCAGCACAAGTGAACTGAGAACAGGAATAAGTGCAGTGGAGCCGTCCTGCAGGGACAGAGCAGGACCTGGGATGGGACGGGACGTCCCGTCAGCGACAGTGTTTGACGCCAATGGAGGAGTCAGAAATGTGAATAGAGAGAAATAAAACATCCTGGTCTTCTCTGAAAAACTGAAATGAGTTCAAAGTGTCTAACAGAGTCACCTGTCAAGCAACCGATACTCGTTTGGATTCTCTAGAACATTGGTGACATTATGGTGATATATTATGTGGCCATTTTTAAGTGGCTGTTAAATTATATTCACATGCAGGCTGTTTAGTTCAGTTTGTTTTATCTAATTAAAAATTGTACAAATCAAACAAGGTTTTAACTTTTTTTATCAAGATCTAAAGATGAATTATGTAACTAGGGCTGGGCAGTATATGAAATATATCGATATTTGTTAATTCACTGGTAATATCAAATTAAGCAACATTGTGAATATTATAACAATTTTAATGTGCTTTTTATCTTAAGTTTCACAATTCCAAACAATTTTTTCATCCCTCCGTGTGGCAACGTTTGAGTTGGTATGAATTTTTGAAAGAAGTCACTTATGCTCACCAAGGCTGCTTTATTTGATGAAAAATCATAAAAATATTATTACAATTTAAAATGACTTTATTATTTGAATATATTTTCAAATGCAATTTATTCCTGTGATCAAAGTTGAATTTTCAGCATCATTACTCCAGTCTTCAGTGTCACATGATCCTCCAGAAATCATTCTAATATGCTGCATTATCAATGTTAAAAACATTTGTGTTGATATTTTAGTTTTTTCCAGGATTCTTTGATGAATAGAAAGTTCAGAGGAACAGCATTTATTGAAATAGAAATCTACTGTAACATTAGAAATGTCTTTTCCGCCATTTCAGACCAAACACATACATTTTGAGATCTGTATTGCAAATATTGTCAGAAGGCAGAAAAATAGTCACACCATTTTTTTTAGCTATATTGCCCAGTCTTAATGGTAATTCATCAGAGTAAATCAATGGTAAAACTGTTTTATGTATATAAGTACTTCATGTTTACATCCATGTTGCATTGCTGCTGTGTCCTGTGCAACACCCAAACCAAACCTCAGACTTTATTCCTCCAATCACAAGCGCACAGATATACTGAATCTGACATTTCAGGCTCATTGCTGACATTTGTGTTAATGAGCTCAAATTCACGGCCTTAAAATGTGTTATGCTCATAGGTCCCTACCCGATGCTCTTTGAAGAACATGTACCCAAGTTATGAGTTCTTTAAAAAAAAACTGTATTGACATTTAAAAATTAGCCAATAAAATATGAGTTTTTACAGTACCTGTCCAGACTCGAATTGTTAAACATAATTACTGACAGACCTAATTTTGCTGTAGTTTGTTTTAAGAGTCTGTCTCTACAATACAATGTTATGTGATTGTTTCAACCCTTGTTTGTAGAGGTAGACATCAAGAGAGAGCTGTTAAACTTAAATATACTTCAGCGTCACAAAACATCTGCGAACAAATGCTGCAGAAGCACTTGGAAATAAATCAAGGTTGGAAGGAAGTGAAGGTTCCAAAAGTAGTTTTTTCCCCTGCAATGCCACAGAAGAACAAACTGTAAAGAACATTTTGTGGAATTAAAAGGTTCCATGAATTGAAATGTTCCTCATGGAACCGTCAATGCCAATAAGGAACCTTTATAAGTGTGTAGTACAAAGCAATTCATCCTCGAAGTTTAAAAATGTGATAGAATAGTAAGTGCTTGGACGTTTCTGGACTCAGCTGCTCAGAGGAAGCTCTTCTATGATCACGCGGGAAACAGAATTCCAGCCGGTGGAAGCGTCTCCGTGAGGATAGTCGCCGCAGGTTCCCACCCAGATCGCAACATCCACCAGGCCTTTCCGCACTCCTTCACATAAACCTTCAACTGAATCAAACAGACGGCGTGTCAGTCTGACCATTTCTCACTGCGTCCATCTGATAACTCTGCTCTGGTTCTCAGATGACCATCTCAAGGCTTCAAGTAAAAAAACATTCGAAAAACAGAGATAAACAGACATGCTTTATTGCACCCTGAGGGGGGATGAGAAATTCAGAGACACCCTTATCTGCTGTAATTAATCCACACAGAACTATTTGCAGCATTTTGTGGAATTAAAAGGTTCCATGAATTGAAATGTTCCTCATGGAACCGTCAATGCCAATAAGGAACCTTTATAAGAGTGTAGTACAAAGCAATTCATCCTCAAAGTTTAAAAATGTGATAGGATAGTAAGTGCTTGGACGTTTCTGGACTCAGCTGCTCAGAGGAAGCTCTTCTATGATCACGCGGGAAACAGAATTCCAGCCGGTGGAAGCGTCTCCGTGAGGATAGTCGCCGCAGGTTCCCACCCAGATCGCAACATCCACCAGGCCTTTCCGCACTCCTTCACATAAACCTTCAACTGAATCAAACAGACGGCGTGTCAGTCTGATCATTTCTCACTGCGTCCATCTGATAACTCTGCTCTGGTTCTCAGATGACCATCTCAAGGCTTCAAGTAAAAAAACATTCGAAAAACAGAGATAAACAGACATGCTTTATTGCACCCTGAGGGGGAATGAGAAATTCAGAGACACCCTTATCTGCTGTAATTAATCCACACAGAACTATTTGCAATGTTTAGAGCGGAGAGCTTTTCAAAGACTTGCTCTGTAGCACAATAGCCATAAAAGGCTTTCATTGAGTGTTTTATTTATCATGCATCACTGTTAATAGACCAACGGCTTGAACTTTATATTACAGGTCAGTACTGAGGGAAAAACAGCATGGGTCATTCTACACAAGCCTGCCTTTTGTGCTCCTCATTAACATATGTATGGCATAATGGACAAACCGACTGTCATTATCGCAAAATAAACCTAAACGCCAAATATCCTCTGTCATCCTGAAAGGCGTAATTCTGCAAAATGATCAGATGCTTATTATTATACACGTTTAAAATATTTTACAAATATATATATAAACAAAAACTTTGCTGAAATTGAAAATATATTTTAAAATTATTCATTTATAATGATTGAATAATTAATATTATTTTAATAATAATATAATATTTTAATGTTCAGTTGAAGCATATATATATATATATAATATGCAATATAACAAAGAGTGAAAAATTTAAGGGGGTCTGAATACTTTCCGTACCCACTGTATGCTTTGAATAAATCAGTAATCATCATTGTGGCCTCTTACTGTTATTTTGCCCAGGTCAATGCCGTAGTTGAGAGAGTTCCAGGCACATTGCTTGTAGTTGGGTTTCCACGGCTCTTCAAACCTCTCCGTCACACATTCACCCTTCTCTCCTTTTGCACCATCCCGGCCCGATAGACCGGGAGTACCTGGAATTCCGTTCACTCCTGGATTTCCGTCCCTTCCCGGGGTGCCTGCTGGACCCTGGAGGCAGCTGGAATACTGAAAACATACAGGATTCAACAGGAGCTTGATATTTTTGGCTTGATATTAAACAGCATATTTTGTAGCTTGAAGTGCCTGTAAGAGGTATTAACAATCTCATCTAACACTAGTCAGCGTAATGCATCTGGAATGAGCTCTTATAGTGTGGTCTCTGGTTACTGATGAAAATACCATGCTATGGCTAATACTTAATATTTTTGCACAGTGTTGCTAATGGGCATGGAGAAGTAGCCTATACTGGGACACTGCCTGCATTAAACCTGGTTGGATGGAGACTGAATCATCTGTCCATTCAGACTGTAACACACGGTTCTTTATTACTGTGATTCATTATCAGTTGTTCACAGAGTCTCAGATAAACGGCTTAAACGCGGATACGGCATTCTTTGACAGTATGGGAAACTTAAACATGTCTGTGAAGTTTCAGCTCAAAATACCCCACAGATCATTTATTATATCATTTTGAAGCATGCTGTTTTTGTGCATGTCTCTTTAAATGCAAATGAGCTGCTGCTCCCCGCCCCCTTTTCCAGAATAGGACAGTGCCATTACAGCTAGTATCTCAGATCTCAAAAAACATCGGTTTGGTTTTGATAATCATGTATCTCGCACTAAAATCATGCGTTTTAAAGCCATATCAGTTTAAACTTCTGATAATATAAGGTTTTATGAGCGCACACATGCGAAGCAAACGTACAGAAAGCGGATGTAACATGGCATGTGAGCTCTCTTTGACACAAGTTTATGTTATAAACATGCATAAGTTAAAAAAACACAATCGGTTATGTCTGTGAAGTTAAACAGCTGGGAAAGAAATCACATGTTTATATTAGATCTGTGTATTAAGTGACAGCAGCATAATATACTGTACCTATACTGCTGTCTACATTGTTAATATGACCCAAACAATAAAAGCAGAAAACCACTCACTGCTCTGGACTGAACAACTTCTATAACTGTAATAAGATGACATTTCTTACTTGAATGCTGCTCTTAAAGTCCTCATGAAATCAAAATGTACAATATTTGTTTTGTTAGTGCACATCGTTAGTCTTAAAGGGATAGTTCACCCAAAAATGGAAATTCTGTCATTAATTACTCACCCTCATGTCGTTCCAAACCCGTAAGATCTTCGTTCATCTTCGGAACACAAATTAAGATATTTTTGATGAAATCGGAGAGCTCTCTGACCCTCCCATAGACAGCAACGCAACTGTAATGTTCTCAGGTCCAGAAACGTAGTAAGGACATCGGTAAAACAGTCCATGTGACATCAGTGGCTCAACTTCAATTTTGCAAAGCTATGAGAATACTTTCTGTGCGCAAAGAAAACAAAAATAAAAATGTATTCAACAATTCTTCTCCACCGAGTTACATCTTCCGCCATTTTGGAGAGTATCCAAGAATGTATTTGACGTAATCAGCGTTGTTTACGTTGGGGTGGAAAGCGCACGCATGAACGTAATCTGCGTAATCAGCGTTGTTTACGCTTAGGGGAAAGCGTGCGTATGCGTTGTGATACTCTCTAAAATGGCGGAAGACGGTAACTCGGGGGAGAAGAATTGTTGAATAAAGTATTTACATTTTTTTTCTTTGCGCACAAAAAGTATTCTCGTTGCTTCGCAAAATTGAAGTTAAAACATTGATGTCACATGAACAGTTTTACCGATGTCCTTACTACGTTTCTGGACCTGGAAATATTACAGTTGCGTTGCTGTCTATGGGAGGGTCAGAGAGCTCTCCGATTTAATAAAAAAATATCTTAATTTGTGTTCTGAAGATGAACGAAGGTCTTACGGGTTTGGAACGACATGAGGGTGAGTAATTAATGACCGAATTTTCATTTTGGGGTGAACTAACCCTTTAAGGTGAACAATTTAGTTAATCCTCTGAAAAAAATTGTTTGTCTTGGTAATCTTTAATCAAATTCTGATCATTTGTTTCTGCTCTGGAATGGCGCTCCTGCTCTGGCTTGGGCAGAATTAGTTTAACCTCGCCCCTCCAACTGTTAGTTTGCTGCGAGTGAAAGATGAGAGGAGGAGCGCTAAAATAAAACCCGCCCTCTACTCAATGTTCCGTATCAGTTGGAAATATGTCACCATACTGAAATAAAGTCGGCAGCAACTTCCGGTTCACGCAGACTTTAAATGCTGTAGCGTAAAGATAAACATGGCGGATTATGTGCAGCTCACTCAGGGCTAATACAGCAGGGCTCAGGGCTCTGCTAATACAGCAGTGTTAGTCAAGAGTCGTGGGTGGGGCTTGTACGGATTCTGTGATTGGTAAGCTCCGAGACACTGCTTATGATTTATGGGGATTAAAAAGAAGGTGCGGGCGGATTTTTATCATTATAGGGTGGTTGTGTACACACACTGCCAACACACATTTATGTTCAAACAACATGTAAAAGTGAATTTTGCATAATAGGGGCCCTTTAAAACTATTAATACTTAGCATTTAAGTTAATGATGGGCGTTTTCGTAAAACTGCTTCATGAAACTTCGAATCATTTGTTTCGAAGCAGTGATTCGTTTTTGAGATGTAGGCCTATTGAAAAATGTAATTGGTTCATCGCTAGGGGCTGATCTGTGCAAACCCATGAACCAGTGTCTATGGGGTTTTTGCCTGATCGCGAATCAACTTTATAAATTTGTGGACAAGTGTAATGACAAATTTGTATAATAAAAGGAAGAATTAGCCTATACTTAGTCTCTTACTAACCTGATTAACCAAAAAAAAAACGCCCTAGTACAAATTAATAAAATAACATATAGTATTTCATATTTAATGGTATTCGATGATTTGTTAATTGCGTTTAATTACACTTTCAATAAAACATTCACAATTTTTATGCATGTTCAAGCTCAGTTTGCTTTACACCATTTTGACCAGAAGGCATCACCAGTGCGTAGCACTTCAAGCGATTCGAAAAGTGATCATTTCATGAAGCAATTAGTTCAGTTGATTCAAAGTTTCAAAAAGCTTCGTTTTTAGGGTATGTTTACACTTGGCAGGCTTGGTTTGATTAAATTGAACTTTGTAAAATATATTTAGGTTTAGTGTTAAAAATGACAGTGTAAACGGCAACGCTAAGCACACTAGGACTAAATGTAGTCTAAAATGTTCTTCTTTTTTGGGGGTCTGGAACAAAAGAACCAAGAGAACTGAACTACAAGTTTAGTTTAGCAAAACGTAGGCTTATTATCTAAATAGCCAACCCAAGACAAAACTGCAAGTCTGATCACTTAGAAAAGTAATAGCACAACACCCCTCAACAAGCCATGCTGTTATTTTTGTTAACTATCTAAAAACTAAAACTATTATAATTTAAATAAAGCTGAACAAAACATTAAACGTTTGCACTGGCATCTAACTGATTAAAATAAGTCTAAGTTGAAGTACAAAAAATTACTAAAATAAAACTAAAAAGTAAATTAGAAATATAATAGAAATATATATAAAAAAAATTGAAATATTAAAAAATTAAAATGTCAAAAGCACAGAACATTACTAAAATTACAATTCAAATGAAAATTGAACATGAAAATAAAAGCTTACTCAAAATATTACAATAGCATAGAAATAATAGGCTACAAAAATATAGGGCAGGGGAGGCACTAACCGCTTAATACTAGCCTTAAAGGGGTCATAGGATGCGATTTCAAGTTTTCCTTTCTCTTTGGAGTGTTACAAGCTGATTGTGCATATATAAGATCCCTGAAGTTGCAAAGACTAAAGTCTCAAAACCAAAGAGATATTCTTTATCAACGTTAAGACTCTGCCACGCCCCCCTAAAACGACTCGTTCTAACACGCCCCCACATATCTACCTCACTATGTGGAAATATTTGCATAATGCGCCCAAATGTGCACCAGCTACAATAATGTACAGTATTTGAAAAAGAATGTGTTTTTTGAACATTAAAGCATGTCAACATATTCTGTTACACCAAATACACAAAAGAATGATCTTTAACAAAGCATCATATGACCCCTTTAACAAACGCACTGACAGTCCAAATATGATATTATGTATTATGATCTTCTACCAGAACTAGGGAAAACAACATATTAACACTGCAGAGCCTGTGTGAGCAAAAATGCATTTTAATGAACATTCACTGAGGAGGTGTAGACTTATGCCAACGCCACTGATGGATGAGAAACTTCGCCAAAATGCCAGGTGGAACAACCAGCGGGCTCTCCGATCATGCAGAAAAAGCGCATGCATAATAGGCTATTTAGAGTTTTGTGCAAATGCGCGTGCATTAGCGAAGCAGTGACACACCAAACATTTACATCTCAATAAGAAAGCGGCTCCCGAGCGCACGGGTCGAATATGAAGCGATGTCCTCGCCGTAACCCAACCTCGTCTAGCGCGAACAATACACGGCTCTGAGCTTTGGCTTTAGCATTAAGCAGCTCTGCTGTCACCTGAGTCTCTTCTGCAAGAGTAGGCCTAATGCAGCTTCTAATCAGCATGCCTGCGAGCAGAGAGCTGTGGAAATAAGGGCCCTTAAATAGGTAATAAATCTTCCCGATACAGGCCACAGGCAAGCCAGGATGTGAAATGTATTCATATTTATAAGCCTGCAGTGCCGTGGCCGAGCTCAAGTCTTCAGTGCGTTTGGCTCTGCTGCTTCTTATTGACAGAACACACCTGAGTGTCCTGCAAACAATGCCTTGCGATGCACACAGCCTCATTTTCTTCAGTGGCTAGTCGTGCCAGGTTCATTAGTGATGCTTCCCTGACTGGTCTGAATGAGAAATTCACCCACCATATAATCTACCCACCGCGAGCAAATTCAAAAGGATTACCGCGCCTGTTTTTCATTACAATGATGAATCGACTGGAATGTTTACCTGCTACAATCATTTACAATAAAACACTTTTTTGGTGATAGAGTAACTCTGATAAAGGAGCTAAGCCATTTTTCCCAGTCCATGATCAATAGAGCCCTGGATTTGTTTAATTTCACTGATTACAGTTTATGATAAAACATCCTAACTAATTTGTTGTAGCCTGTAACCTTTCCTGAAATAAAGCGGGAGCTAGTCAACGCCTTGTTGTTTATGCTAGGCCATGTTGTTGGGACAAAGTTGTTAAAAAGTCATTTTGAGAGCAAGAAGTATATTAACTTTGATTATAGACGTGGCTAGTAACAATATGTCTCAAAACTTTATTATAATAACCGAGATAAGTTTATTTATTCATTAAAACGAATTTGTAGAACTTTAGCATTATAGTCTATCACTTGCTCACTAATGGATCCTCTGCAGTGAATGGGTGCAGTCAGAATGAGCGTCCAAACAGCTGATAAAAACATCACAATAATACACAAGTAATCCACACCCCTCCAGTCCATCAATTAACATCTGGTGAAGTGAAAAGCTGTGTGTTAGTAAGAAACAAATCCCATCAAGACGTTTTAACCTAAAACTGTCGCTTCTGGCCAAAATACAAGTCCATAATCCAAAATAATGCTTCCTCCAGTGAAAAAGTCCATTCTCTGTTGTCTTCTTACATCAAAATCCACCAGCATACTATATTAGTTTAGAACTGTTTTTGACTGTTTTCACATATTAAAACATCTTAATGATGGATTATTTCTTTTTAATTATAAACGCACAGCTTTTCCATTTCACTAGACTTTCATGTACTGGAGTGGTGTGGATTACTTGTGGATTATTGTGATGATTTTATCAGCTGTTTGGACTCTCATTCTGACGGCACCCATTCACTGCAGAGGATCCATTGGTGAACAAGGTATGTAATGCTAAATTTCTCCAAATCTTTTCTGATTAAAAAACTAAACAAAAACTCATGTACATCTTGGCTGGCCTGAGGGTGAGCACATTTTCATTTTTGGGTGAACTATTCCTTTAAGCCATGTTATTGTTAACCAAAAAAAGAAGAAGAAAAGAAACTGAAATAATAAGTAAAACTATATTGAAATGTAAAAAAATTATAAAAATGACTATAAAAGCATTTAAGAAAATGACCAAAAATAAAACTAAAATATAAAAATAAAAGCTAATTAAGAACATTAATAAATGCAATAATAGTACTGTATATAAATAATAGTAAAATAACACAGAAACAAACTATACAAACAGAGATATACATGAGTGCTTGGCTAATGCTTGGGGAAGTCGTGGCCTAATGGTTAGAGAGTCGGACTCGTAACCGAAAGGTTGCTTCAATACCACGACTGAGGTGCCCTTGAGCAAGGTACCGAACCCCCAACTGCTCCCCGGGCGCCGCAGCATAAATGGCTGCCCACTGCTCCGGGTGTGTGTTCACGGTTTGTGTGTGTTCACTGCTGTGTGTGTGCACTTTGGATGGTTAAATGCAGAGCACTAATTCTGAGTATGGGTCACCATACTTGGCCACATGTCACGTCACTTTAAAATTTTGCGAGCGTTTTGCACACCTGTTGATCATTAAAATCAACATGAAATTCCGTTGGGGAAAGCTTAAATCATAAAAGTGGTGTCACTGCATTGATGAATAGGAAGACCTTAACAAGTAAGAGGCATTGATGACATCAGCTGAAGCGAGGTGGTGCAAGTTGTAACATTTTGATAAATTATTGCAAAAACAAACATTTAGTTGATTGAAATAACGTACACTGACGAATCATTCACAACGAGACTAAGAACTTGCATTAAAAACTAATTGACAATAAAATAAACGCAATGACTTATGAATATGAATGAATATGGCCTTGCACTACTGAGGCGTTAACAAACTTCAGTACTCGAGGGGGAGCTAGAGTCACACACCATTGTGCTAATGGCTGCTATACCCCTGAGAATTGCAATACTTGCATCCTGTTACAAATTGTAGTTGGACAGATTGGGCATTCCAACAAAACTTGAAATTAAGCAATTGTATATAGAGGTTTTGACATTCACATTCTTGAATATGTTTCAGGCCTTATAAAGATCAATCACATCTCTACACAGTCTTAAAAGGGCAACATGATTCTACACCTCGTAGAATGAATAACTTGAAGTCTTGTTATTGCTTGCTGTAGCTTGAGAACTGGAATATCAGACACACATGGATCGCTGGTTATGTCTGGGCTATTCAAAGTTAACTTTGGCTTACTAATAAAAATGCAGATGGTTCCACTGGCAAGATTGTTGAATACAATTATGCAGAAGATGAATATCAAATTTGTCTTGAATTGGACCTCGGGAGATTTCAAAGCAATCAAGGAATGAAATGAGGCGAGGAATTTTTAACAGCCAACAGCTGTATATTCAATTGACTTTGATGACGAGAGACAGAGACGATCCCTGCGTTCCATTCAGAAGGGCTCATCCCTGTGCCCTAATTTCTTCAAAGGTTTTACCCTCCAGAGTGAGAGCTTCGAAGGGTTGAAGGGTGTAGAGGACCAAACAACTTGAAGTGCCCTTCTGCATCACCATCACGTGCCCACACGGAGGCGCTGTCATCATGCAAAGAATCTGTGCAAAGGATCATGGGAGCCCGAAGTGTCCATCAGTTGTACCCTTAGAAATCCTTCATTCCGAAGGGCCCTTTGAAGTCACCAGTTTTGAGCACTTCGGTTTGGAATGACCCTTCAATATGGCGGCCATGATTGTTTTCAGTCCAAAGTGCCCTTCGGAGGGCGATATATATTCCATTTGGAATGCACCGGATGTTCGAACTTGAATACTAGCATACTGCATACTGTGAATACTATTCAAAAAATATGCGAAACTGAGTGTGTAACATTTAGGGGATCTTTTACGTTTATTTTGCAATAAAAAAAAGTCGAAACTCTAAAATTGTAGCTAAAGTTCAGTTAAGGAATAGTTCACCCAAAAATGAAATTTTGCTGAAAATGTATTCACCCTCAGGCCATCCAAGATGTAGATGAGTTTGTTTGTTTCTTCTTCATAACAGATTTAGAGAAATGTAGCATTACATCACTTGCTCACCAATGGATGCTCTGCAGTGAATGGGTGCCGTCAGAATGAGAGTCCAGACAGCTGATAAAAACATCACAATGAGGTAATGCTACATTTCTCCAAATCCGTTACAATGAAGAAACAAATTCATCTACTTCTTGGATGGCCAGAGGGTGAGTACGTTTTCAGCAAATTTTAAATTTTGGGTGAACTATATTAAGTCAAAATTATTCTATGCTGTATGCATCCAGGTATTGGGTGCATACAGAAAAATTGCACACTATGAACAGTATACAGTATGCATATTTCAGAAAGAGTTACCTAGTCTGGCCTGAAATAATCACTAATAGCGAAACAGACTAACATGTTTCAGCAGTTGTAAATTTCAGTGCTATAAGAGTTGTTACTCCCAATAAAGAAACACAATTCTGGTTAGTTCCCTGCAAACTGTTCACACTTAGTGGGCTCTGAACAGAGTTTAAACAGCTTTGTCACATCCTTTTTAGCAATCAATCCATTGTTACCGCTTGGTTAACTGGTCCCTGTGACTCATATTCTTCTCACATCTGCAAAAATGAATCTGGCATTGTTCAATATTGGCAAAGGCTTTAGTCAATAAGAAAAAACTTGCACTGTCTGCAGGAAATCACAGTTACAGTATTGATTTCTTGAAGAGACAGAATCAGCCAGCATAGCCAATTATTTTATAGCCACTCATACTGCACACTTAAAACTGAAGTGTCTGATTTGATGACCTCTTTCAGACAGTTCAAAATAAAACCAAGATTTTCTAAAACTTCTGCAAAGAGGACCAACTTTCCTATTTGAAAAAGCAAAGAGCAGATTAGACCTCTTTAATGATTGTTTTGGAGAAAAAATTGAAAGAAAAGCCCCCAGAAATCTCACATTTCTCCTTTAGACGTTCAAGAGAGATCTCAAACTGTACAAAGTTTGCGATCAAAAGTCAGTAATCTCAGTATGATCTCAAACATCTTTCATCAAATTGTTCCAAAAATAGATGATCTGAGGCGCTATGCACATTCATTTTTAGCTCTATACTCTTCAAAGTCAACACTGACTGGAATTTTATGAGAAACATCTTAATAATTAAGTGAAACATGATTTAGTCTCGAGAGCAATTAAAGTTTCCTATGGGTTTAAATACATTACATAAATACACAAAAAATTACATATAAAGTTATCTTGCCCTTGAAGATCATGTTTTGCAAGAGTGGCAAAAATAATTCAATAAATACTTAAAGTCTTACTTTCTCCATGTAGTCAACATCCTTCTGGCGCAGACCTCTGGTTTTTAATTTTTCTGCTTCATAACACGTAAACAATAAGCAGGAGATAATCAATACTCGTGTCTTGAAGTGTCCCATATTTGAGCTGAGAGGTTAGAGAAGACGGGGCTGCTTACATCTGTTGAGCTCTAGACAGGACTCTTGGTTTGTACGTTACTGTTAAAAATCAATTCCCCTATGGAGAAAATGAATGGGATTTTTACTCCTGGAACAAGACTGTAGTAATTTTGTTCTTTTTAAACACTATAAACTGTCAATATGTGACCCTGGAAAAGAATTGGAAAATTCCAATTCCTAGTTCCACCCTAAAATATAAGCATACATACTTGAAATGACACGAGGGTGAGTAAATAATGACAGAATTAGCATTTTTTGGACTTGATATCTACACTCAAATCTTAGAACCTCAATCTGATGCTGCATATACTGGCCAACTGAAATGTTAGCAAGCTAGATTTCCCTTCAACTTCACATCTAAAACAAGCACCCCATTCAATATTCCCATCTCCCTCCATTTTTCCTGAACGGCAGCCCCCTGGCGACATCCCAAGACCGGAGGAGAAGCAGATCTGTGTGCTTACTGTACAGAGCGGCGTTTCTCTGACGGAGGTCTTCCTCTCTGCTGAAGCGGCTCTTTCTCCTCGCGTCACAGCCGTCCATTCATCGCTCTGTCGAGACACTGTAAATACGATCAGTTTTGTATTTTTCAAATCATGGATATAAGCTCCACTATTAAGTAAACTTTCCGCTGTGTGACTGGCCAGCTATTGCGGCCCATGGACAAGGGCCTTCTAGTAATATTTTCTAAGCTTCATTGTTCATTTTGTGCTGTATGTGGTGACTTATACATGCGCCCTGAAGGGTCTGTCAGGCTGGAGTGTTTGTTTTCAGGCCAAGTATTGAGTGATGAAGAGCTGCTCAATGAACTGCAGGCCGCTGACGGTGGGTGGGCTGGCTAGTCTTTCAAGAACAGGGCTGCTAACTTAAAGGTTGTAGGTCAAATCATGTAAGGAGAATCACTTACTTATTTTTTAATGGACAGAAATTCGGATAACAGAATCTATACATGCCGTCTGTGAGTTTTCTGTGCTAGAGTATTTTTGTGGCGTCATCTATTTTAGACAAACCTCTAAATGGCACATAAAAAGATTGCTTGATTTGTCAACAAGATAATGGGCAGTTTGGACCAGGACCAAGCTTAATAATAATAATAATAATAATAAATGTGTCATTAGTAAGCATGGATAAAGCATCAGCTACAATTCTTCAAAATTTGCCTCATAAATTTTGTCCTTATGCTCACCAAGGCTGCATTTATTTGATTACAAATTACAGTAAAAACATTAATAATGTGAAATATTATTACAATTTAAAATCAGGGAACTCTATTTAAATATATATTAAAATGTAATTTATTCCTGTGATGCGCAGCTGAATTTTCAGCATCATTACTCCAGTCTTCAGTGTCACATGATCTTCAGAAATCATGCTAATATGCTGATTTGCTGACATTTCTGATTATTATCAGTGCTTTCTTGTTTCATATCTTTGTCAAAACCACGATATAATAAAAAGTTCAAAAGAACAGCATTTATTTAAAATATAAATCTTTTGTAACATTATAAATGCCTTGTTTCTTTTGATCAATTTAACGTTTCCTTGCCGAATAAAAGCATTCACTTCTTTTGGAAAAGAAAAGGTAAGGTAGTAGTGTATGTCGAAAGTAAGTTAATTTCCCGAGAAAAATATTGATAATATGAATAAATATTAAAATAAATCATATCATAATTATAATTTCATTTTTATTATTATAAATATAAATACTTGAATGTTTAGGTCAAGTGGCTTGGTATAAAGATTTTGGCATCTTATTTCATTGTTCACTATACACATTATTCCTAGTAAATGTTCCAGTAATTATTCAATCAAATTTTTTTTTACAATCTCATTAATTCCCACTCTTCTTGTTGAATATCACTCACAAGTACATGCGATTACTGAAGTTGAGAACATCATTTCACACAGGCTTTCAGAGATTAGGAGGGTTAGTTAAACTCCTCTTCTGCATTTATTCTGCAGATGGCAATGCAGCGTTCTGAATCTTAGTGTCCATCAGAATGATGTTGAGTATATTCTCAGACAGATGGATGTATGTGACGGTTATGACAGCACTGCACACCATACATCACTTTCACACTGAAGGATGCCACACGGGTCACTGCATGCACGAGAACTGATATCCGTCCCCATGGTTACCAGCTTATGATGACATGTCCTAACAGAGACACTGAAAGAAAAGAAATCTTGACATCTGCATTTTCCCATCACTCTGTGGAAAGAAAGCAAACAGTCTGACACTAACAGTAGAGTATTGTGGAGGTACCATTGTACTGAATAATTACCATGTTCATGCACCATGCAATTTACATGTCATATTTTCAGTATGACAATGACATTATATTCAATGACTACATATAAAACATGTAAAAGTCCAAAACATCATGGTTTTAATATGGTAAATGTCTCACACTACTGTGGTATATTCTTGGCAGTACCATGTAAATACCATCAGTCATGAATTTGAGTTAAAAACAAACAAACATGTTATTAGCATACTGTATTTGCAATAAAGTCCACAGTATTACCATAATAAAAAACAAGATGTCCAAAAAAGTAAAAGACAAAGTCTAATAATAAATAATTATCATGGTACATGTAAAATGGATAGAAGAAAAAAAAATTATTAACATGGTATTATCATGGTAAGTGCAAATAATAATAATAATAAATCAAATAAAAAAACAATGAAATTAAGCATAATTAATAAAACATGACATTACCATTGTACATATACAAAGAAACTACTAAAATAAAGACTAAAATTAAATAAAAAAAAACTATAAAATAAAAAATGACTAAAACACAATATTACTATAGTATACGTAAAAAAAAAACATCACATCATCATAAATAATAAAATAAAAAATTATGAATAAACATGATATTATTATGGTATATATATATATATATAAATAAAGATAGAATGAACCAGTTACCATGTCCATAAAAACCATGGTATTATGGCTTGCCTGTGAAGGATACATCACTTGCAGTAAATAACTGAAATGGAGGAGAGAATAAACACTGGGGGGCAACAGTGTCATGTGGTGTCCTCGCAGCTGTCAGATTGGCTGATTATTCAGTGGATTTCTGATATTCCCGTCAGGGTCTGTCCGCTCTCACGCTCCACGAAGAGCCAGGCTGCAAATAGACAAGTGCTTGAAATGAGACTCCCCATGATGCTAATTACTGCTCGACTCACAGCTGCAGGATTTCTGCAAAATGATGGTGGTTAAATAAAGCAACAAACTTTATTACTTTAATTCTGTCATGTGTGACACCCCTTACCCATGGTATACTCACTGTAATTCCCCATAACACATAGCTTTTATAAAACTGCCAGCATTGATACAGAATGCACAGTTACAGGTGTTAATCGACATTTACAAGATTTCATGGAGTTGCATAATACTTATAACAGTTAGTGTAATAATATTATATAATTGTAAAAATAGCAGTCAATAGTAGAAAAAAAACATGCCACGTTAAATAAAAAGGTAATATTAACATGGTAAATTTAAAATAAATAAATAAACAAATAAATGTAAACAAAAATACAAAAACAATATTCTCATGGTATATGTGATTAACAATGATAATCATCATAAACAAAAAAAAAATAAAAAAATTAAGAAACATGATATTTGCAGTTACAGTGTTAATCGACATTTACAAGATTTCATTGAGTTGCATAATATTTTAAATGTTTTCAATTAATAATAGTACTCAATAGTAGAAAAACCATGGCACATGTACAATAAAAAGGTAATAAATAAAAACAAAAATTAAAATGTTAAAAATTAAATAAAAAAACATTAATGAAAAAATTAAAAATCAAACAATATAACCATGGTATATGTAATAATAATTATCATAAATAAAAATCAGTGTAACAAAAATTATGAATCATGATACTTGACACGATTTGCATAATATTTTAAATATTTGTAATAATAGCCAACAGTAGGAAAAAACATCACGTCCAATTAAAATAAAAATGATATAAAAATACTACTGCTAACTACTAATAAAATAATTTAAAAAATAAAGTTAAAATCACAATATTATGATGTAAATAATTACACAATCAATAAAATAATTATGAAATATGATATTTCGACATTTACAGGATTTAATGGAGTTGAATAATATTTTAATTATGTGTCATAATAGTACTCAATAGTATGAACAAAAAAACATGACAATCAATTAAAGATATAAAACTAAAACCACAAGGTTCTCATTGTGTATGTAAATAATAATAATAATAAGTAACATGATATTTACAGTTACAGGTGTTAATCAACATTTACAGGATTTCACAGAGTTGCATAACCTTTTGAATATTTGCATCATCATTTCAGGGAAATGAATGAATATTCATGCACAGTTGCAAAGCAGGATCTATCCTGAGGGCACTATAGACAAGGTTTGAATGGCGGCAGTCTCTCCTGAACTTCACACGAGTCTGACAGTCAAAGGAAGGCTGGGTCTGAGGACATGCTTTGTCTGACGCCCAGGGACTCGTACAAAACAAGCCATTTCATGTCACATTGTCATCAAAGTAAGCCAATTTTTACTCCGGCTTTTTACCCCCGAAGATTCAGCGAGCAGATGGAAAAGTCATCCGGCGTGACAGACAGCTGAGAGAGAGACGAGGGGCCCGAGAATCTCAAGCAGGCTTCTGTCGCTGTGAGCGCACGGCCCTAATACAACAGACGCCATTCAGCAAACAGCCATTCACAAAGCACACAATCTCTCGCATGAGCGACGATATTACCGCAAAACTCCTCAACATCTTCACTTTGATGATATGAGGTTATTACAGGAAAAGTTAGCCTGAAAAATGAAAACTCTGTCATTTACTCACCCTGCTGTGGCTCAAGGACTTTCTTCCATGCAGCACAAAACAAGGCATTTAGCAGAATGTCCATGCTGCTCTAAGAAACATTTACACAAACAACTCCAAATAGTAAAT